AATTTGCTTCCATATTTTCACTGGAATCTATTTTCCTCTCACATACCATCAAATGAAGTAGGATATCCATACAGGTGAGGATTTTTAGATTCGCAGCTTGAACCTCTTGTAGCTTGATATAATTATATTTTTGGAATTTCTCAACTAAATCTATACACATAAATAGATTTATAACGGAGCCTCGGAAATATCTCATGTAGCGCTCGCACGCGCCAACAGTGTGCATATATATAGAGGAAAGGCGCATTTCGAATAGGTCTGACCCATCCGAACTGGATACCTCAATTTAAGCGCCGGCGTGAGCCCATATCGTTTTCTGCTGTTCAACAGGCAACCCCAGGCCAGCCCTGGCGAACCCTGACCATCCCGGCCCTATTCTATTCTCCACATTCCCTTGGATGGACGGAAAGACTATATGGCTGACGCCAGACGAGTGTTCTGCGCCATAGACGTGGGGCTGTGAACCCATCTATTGCGATGCTATTGCGATGCAGCATTTTCAGTTTTTCAGTGTGCAACGCAGGAATTTGTGCGAAGCGGATTCGATGTGTGCTTCTGTTGGGCAATGCGAGCTGGCGTTTGGCTTCAATGGGGCGCTACGGCAACAGAAATCTTAAATTGTTGCAAATTGCATTCGAACGATTGGAGCTCTCGGCCGGACGTGCCATTTCAGAAGATGCGCCCAAGTCGACTCGCGGCAGGGGCAGGGGCAGGGGCAGTGAAAGCGGAGCCGGGAAGCAGGCACGTGGTCGTGCCGCTGCATATGGGGCAACAAGTATCTGCGCATTCGCCCATTATCGTTCGACAGTTTAACGAGTTCAAACACAAATTACTCACGAGTGGCTGGGCCTGTGGCTGGGCTGTGGCCGGGCCAGTGGCGGGCCAGAGAATGGATGTGCATTGGCAATAAGAATGTTACGCAAAACCATAATTAACAAACATTCGTCGAATCGGCGAAATTTGTTTTACGAGCTGCTGGTGCCGTCTTCACTTGACTCCGACTTTGATTTATTTGCCCACGGGCAGGCAGCAGATGCCGGGCAAGGGGCCCCGGGGTCGCCAAGCCCAACTCATTTCAAAGGCACGTCTACAAAGTCATCTCGAGACGGCGATTTAACCGAGAACACGACATTGGGAAGCATTCAAATTATAGGAAATCCTTTTGACAACTCACATAACTCTGCCGAGTCGTTAGTCCGACACATTTCTGATATATGTCCGCGTCTAATGAAGCCGTCAGGTCGTTGTCACCAGACATATGCCATTTGTCCGGATTGAAAACTGTCGTTCTACGTGACTCTCCCTACGAATTGCATCCAATGAGGAGTGCGTCCAAGTGCCCATAATGGCTCTACGTCTATGCCCATTGCGCGCCTACTGCGGAATACCAAATGGCCAAGGTGTTAATTGAGCAAGGGCCAAATGTGTACCAAAGCGAAGCACGGCACGTTAGTCGATGCCAAAGTCTGTAGCTAAATTATAAGGAGCAATCATAATAATGATAATTCGATTTCCAGGTAAACAACCATTAAAGCACTCATTCCTGCACTTACCAATTTATATATGCACAATTTATTATGTACAATTGCTTGTCAACAGCAAATGGAGTATTTACCCATGCAGTTCACTCTCTTTTGACCGATCAGCAATTGAACTTGAATTCTTACGACATGGACTCGTCACTGTGTTTTTTCGAGTATCTTCTGTTGTATTTAACTCAAGAATATATTGTATTGCAAAGCTAATATACTCGTTTTACTTCCCATTTCACTGTCTTGAGCCAAGTGCCCGCCAGCAGCTATTTCTCTCTTACCTCAAGTCAGGCAGACACTCACGCTTTGCCTTCGTCTTCGCATTTAGCACAGTCTCTCCCAGTATATAGAGAAGAACTTTAGCGTTTGTTTCGAAATGGTAGTAGTAAGCGAATTTATTTATTTAAAATTGAGGAGTTAACTTTAAAGTTTACGTTCAATGTCTTTCTATACTAAAATATCTATAAAACTTTTGAATAATAAGGAAGGTTTCGATAAGATTATTTAATAATTTGAAGTCTTTTCGTTTTCTTATGGGAATCAGAGATTCCCTGGTATGAATGATAATTAATTTCTAAAGTGTATGCTATAAAAATTATCAAACATTAAAAATAAAAAAATGATTAAGTTAAAAACGGAAACCTTCCATGTTTACTTAGATTCAATTCACCCAGCACTCAAATTCCAGATATATGTAAATCTTTATTATTGTTATATGCTGAAGCCATTGGAAATAGTTATTCAGGGTACGGGCGTGGCAGATGCCATAAATTTATATACTTTTACACAGGGGACCGAATTGAGAGATCTGTAGAGCTTTAGTAGATTATAAATTTTGTTATATCCTTCAGTATTCCTATATACTATAGGCTGTTCAAAAATGTTGACAGATCAAGGGAATTCTTTAAATGTTCGATATTCTGAACACATTACCCTATGCGAGAGTGCCTAAAAATAAGTTAGACAATACAACATAAAACTGTCTTATAGATCAAAATCAGTTTGAATATGGGATATATGATAAATACAAGCTATGTATACAATTATACTTATCGAAAGTCGATAATTCAGGTCATGTCGACAGATACGCTGACAGTGCTTACCCGCCGCTTGATTCTACTAAGTATTGGTTACAAAATAATAAATTAGGATATACTTCCTTTGCCTTGAATGCATCTTTTGGGAATGCATTTACCCATTCGTTTAAATGAATATAATAATGCAACAACAATAAAGTCCGCCCATTTTTGCGTGGGTCAAGGATATTTGTGCAAATTATCTCTGTTCAGATGCATTGCGCCTTGCGATAGTGATTAAGGTCGCAGGTAGCTCGGCTCATGCACCAATCAGCAATGCGGCCATAGACCCTCCCACAGGCGCAGCCACGGCCATTAGCTGTTTATTGCTGTCTCGCTTATCCATTGCCAAAATCAATTTCGCTGCAACGGCAAACGGTAAACACCTTCGCTGACTCCGCACTCTGCATTAGATGATAGCAAGGACGCATTTGCACTGCTTGCGGGCACTGCTTGACCGACTGCAGGCAATCAAATGGCTAGCTACCTGTGGTACGGCACATCGCCGCCAGATGGCGATGCAGTCGCCGCCAATGCTCAAGGGACGAGGCTGAACAATGTACGAATTGACATTATTATTTATAAATTGTCTCCGGTGCACTTATTCGGATCGCAGTCCAACTCAGGCGGCTGCCCCTTGGCAGAGCAGGAAACGTGTTGCCTGTCGGCTGGAGTATTAGAGGGCCGTGTTTGTCTCCCGACACCACTTGGCCATATTTTACCGCTTTTAAGCAGCGCGTAAATACTCACGCTTACTGCAAGAGTCCATTAAACGCTCGTAAAAACTTTACGATTCTCAATATGAGATTCTCTTAATACGGTTTTTTATGATATTGAAATCTCCTTTCGCAGCCAGCCCATCATCATCGACTATGCCTCGCGGCAGCCGGCGAGCATCTGCGGCCCAGCAACTTCGCCTGACTTTGCTCGCCATGCACTTTGCTGAAATTCGCTTTCCCAACCGCAGGCGAAGGAAAGCTGAAAAACCCGCTTCAGGTACCGCGCTGGCAGCCGCCTCTAGCCCCCCGAATTCCGGTCCACTTCGTTACATTCACACGCTAAAGGGGGCGTGTGCGCATTTTAATGTCTTGTCGAGGCATATAAAACACGCTCCGTCACCACGCTGCCCAAACGATGTTTATGTTGGAGCTAAAACAAGCTCTCCGAGGGGCGAGTCTCCAGCGAAAATATTGAATAACTTTTACAAACTCGACGCTAGTTGAATCAGACAATCAGCAAAGTACGCTGTAAAAGACAAATTATTTATAATTTATGGACTATATAGAGTCTCAATTCAGAGTTAGTAAATATAAAGAGCAATTAATGCATTATTCAATGTCTTGGGCAGCTAATGACAAACCCGTATTCATATTATATCAAATCTATTTTATATATATTCGACAAAAATGATATTACTCAGTTTAACTATGTATATACTTCTGATAAATTCCAATGCCCAAGTTGACGTCAATGTTAATGTATTAATGTATTCTCTCTGAGACGTTGCATGATATATGAGATTTTTAAGCCTCTTCAAATTCTTATAACTTGTAAGCGATACGAAAATATTATTTTAACCATGTCCAGTGTCTGTCTTGCTGTTCGTCCATAAGTCAACCTCGCACGTAGCCTCTTCCGACTTAATTATATGATTACCGTTAGAAATTTCAAATATATATTTTTTCGATCTTAATGTGACAAAATTGTTGTGAAAGAGTTGATATTGACTGGCGTCAGCGTGAGTAAGTTGAGGGGTTGTCTCTAATAGATAAGAATGAGTATAAAAAGACATAGGAACGTCTGTAAGATTATTAGTTAAATTTGGATTCCAGATATTTGAAATATTTTCATATAGACTAACGTGCTAGGAACACCGGTCTCTCAGGTAGCTCTGCCATTTTTTAAATGTTCCTTATGAGTAAGCAGATTATACCTATTCCTTCGCTGATTTCAATAATTTACAAAGCAATGATAAGAGGATAGCCCGTATGAGAGCTACCAACTCCTTCTGAGATTCGGAGTACAGAAAGTACTCCTATCGCTTAGATAATAGTGAATAGCTCACTTAAGTGAAAATCGCTTGGCTAATATTCAAGTTCATTTAACCGACATTTCTGGCTGGGCAGAAAGTTTTGCTGATTGTTCCATTAAGTCATGAATAACAATATATTACAGTAAATAAAATATTGCGGGCATGTAGGAGCACAAATAATTAGCGAATGGTCTCTTAACTTTTAATTATCGTTTTACGCCTGTCAGCGACAAAGTAAAACGTGTTCATAGAATAATTGCTGAAATGCATAATTACAGTCGTAAAGTGTAAATAGAAAAAAAAAAATGAAAATTATTCACATATTCCTAATATATATTCTATAATGTGTTCTATTTACAGGCACACATGATTATTGGATGCATTTAAGCTCCGTCTGCGGTAAGTGGGAATGCCGATGCGAGCACCGGAGATGCTCCTCGGTTTAACGAGTGTTTTGCTCAGCTTTTAATTAGATTTGTGATTTATATTTTTCATTTGCGCAATTTACAAAGCGGTACATCATTGGTGCAATTAAACTGTAGTAAACGTGGACGTGGACGTGGACGGACGACGCAGAGAACAAGACGTTCTGCCACTTGGCTGGCTCTCGTATAATTTTTATTAAGTCGTTCTGAGGAATGCACCGCCGAGGCGAGTCGAGTCGAGCCGGGTCGAGTGCTGCATGAAGGCTGAGGGCTGGCCCATAAACCCACATTTCTGACGGGGGCTGCCCTCTCGCCTGCTCTGTGTGTTAACTACGCGGAGGGGAGCGGACCAGGAACTGGAACTGGAGTCATAAAACACGGCTATATGCGACAGCGTCGAAGGATTAAAAAATGACTGCGTGACAAAGCATTTTATAATCGTCATCTGATTCACTTAAAAACACATTCATCGCCGCCACCACTGACTCGATGTCGGAGTTCAGACCCGCCGTGAAGCTGTGAAGCGATCCGAATTTGGGCTCGGGCGAACCGCAAGGGCCAAAACAAGCCATAAACCGCCGCAATAAAAATGTATCAAATTAAGGAATAAATTTCATGTGCAACAGCAACAGCAGAGCGTTCTTCTTTTTACAACTATGACTCCGAGTGCTTCCGCTGCCGTCGAGTCTAACTTGAGCAGCATTTCACTCAATAGATTGCGAGTGCCTGCCCCTCAACCCTCAACACTCAACACTCGACATTCGACTGTGCCGCATTCTCACTCAATCGAATACAGTTTTTGGTAGCTCGGCGGCTCTTAGCTCAGTATTTATGGCTTCTATTTGGCTGATGGCTTATACTACGAAAGATTGAGAGCCTTTTACTGCTAATACCATCGTTAGATGCCGACTCAATACGAAATATAACAATGGGAACAGTATTTCAAAATGCCCTGCATAATAAAAGTATTTTCAGTAATTCTACAACTCAAATTATACTTTTGGTTCATCAATAATATATATGTATAATATATAAGTATATATATAAAATAGGTATAACATATACATTTATGTATGTCCATGGATAAATCCCTTACAATCATTCATTTATTCATTCGATTACAATCATTCCTTTCCTTTCAGACATCGTGTAAGATAAATGTATTCCAATGGATAAATGTACCCTGATCTGTTAGATGTAATGTCACCTAGACCCTAAAAGTAAGGAAATTCATTTACAATCGTCAGATCCCCGACTAGGCAAACGACATTGCTCCACTCTGCCCAAGGGGGTTTACGATCCTAGTAGAATGCGCCGTGGGCCCCCGCCTCTGCCCCAGTCGAGGCGTCGAATAGTGTTTTATTGTGATTTCGTTCATTTTTTATTATTATTTGCTGCTGTGCTCTCACCCAGTTTCAATTTTATTAGTTTATTACGGTTATTATCTTTTAATGGCAAGCGCGAGCGCCGCCACTCGCCGCTCGCATTGTTGTTGTTCTTTTTATATCACACTCGAGTAGTTTACATACACATGTGTGTGTGTGCGTGTGTGTGTGTCCCTCTTGCTCTTTGTTGTTGTTTTCATGCCCAGTTATTTAGCAATAACGTGTGAAGTTGTTTTATTATTTGTTTTGATTATCAAAATTGCCGGTTTGCATTTTCCGGTCGTTGGCCGCCCCTCGCCCTCGCCCTCGCCCTCGGCCTGCTCACCATGCCCTCGCTGATCCATTCACGTTCCGGTGCTTCATGCAGGTGCCGTAAATCACGGCATGCCCGGACCAATCCACTGCACTCAAAATGCCACTCAAAATAGAGCCCGAACCGACACTCGCACTCACTCGCACTCATCCGCACTCACTCGCACTCATTCGAGCCCGCAGCAGCAGCGCGACTTCTGACTGACTTGTATGACCAATAAAGCAATTAATTTTAAGCACTGCCGACTGTAAACTGTTGAGCATAGAGTATAGAGTATACAGCATTGAGTATAGACCCCCAGCAGATTCAACTGGCTGGGCAGCCATAAAAACCTAATTTGGCAGGGCGTTAAGTGCATGGAATATTGCTAAAGGATTGATCAATTATTTAACTGTTGCCGCCAACACAAAAAAAATATATAAAACAGTTTGCAATAAAATATGATTTCTTAATTCAATGAAGTGTTTGGCAATTATACATATTTACAATAAAACTCAATTAATACTCCTCAACTAGGTGGGAGCTCGATTCATAAAGAGTCAAAGAGCTAATTCATTGCATGTCTTGGAATCAGCTCAGAGCAATCTTCTACGAGATTTATGTATTGTCGTTCCCAATTAATACAATTGATTCCCGCAATTTTACCAAAAGAATCTCAGAATGATCTTTCTCTTGACGACGTAAAAAATAGACTATAAATATTACTTATATAATTTTAATATAATTTCTTTGATGGAAAAATCAAATTACATTCCTTAAATACTCATTGTATAATTCTTGTAAGATTAAATATTAATAATAAATTTAGTAAATATTACCTCCTGACAAAATAATTTTCTAATATTACGTCTAGTATATTTTTGTGATATACATCTCGTTAATATGTAGTTGTTTATATTATTTTAACATATTGCATTATTTATAACATTTTTATAAAATTGTGGCACAGATGATAACTAATAAATACAAAAAATACAAAAGTAAAATATATGAAAATATCTTTATTATTTATTAAAATTAGTTCACATTATAGGTTTTTGCCTCATATATCAGGTCGTCCCCTTGATCCGAGGCATTACTAGAGAAGTCACACATAACGGTTACACAGGTTTATAATTCTGGCAATAAAATTATAATATTAAAGTGCTTTCGACGAATACTCAAGAAAGCTAAAAGTTGATGGAATTTCAGAACAGGGGCAAGGCTCAATTATCAGCACTGATTAATAAATATGTATAAAAATAGAAGTGTCTTATCATAATAAAATGCATCAATTCTTAGGCTATCAAGTTCTATTGATTATAAATGGTAAATACAGAATGAACTCTATTGTTGTGGAAATATTTGTTCATCATTTCCATTTTATGGTATATTCGTATTTATTTGGAAATAGTTAAAGCATTCTCTTGACAGCTCGCATAATATAATACGATATCAGATATGGACATTCAAATTTTTAAATTTCCGAAAATAGATTAATTAAAGACTAGATTGACTTTTAATTAGGATATTTTGCTTTCTTCTTCTTCGACTTCACTTTTTGTGATATCCGTCTCTCTGCCGTCCGTCTTTCTTTTCGGGCTGCGAACTGCGATTATAGAAAATACGAAACATCGAGCAAGTGGCCAAGTTCATAAATTGCGAATTCGTTACATTTCCGCAAAAGTGCCAAAAAAAAAAAAAAAAAAAAAAAAGAAACAAGCAACAACAACAACAAAAATTATATTCCCTTGTCCGATCGTAAATTTGAAGTTTTTCATAAAAATGTCATAACAGTAATTTCAGTGACAATGGCTGAATACAGAATACAGAATACAGTAATAACACGATAACAACTACAAAACAAAATGAAAACAGACTTTGACTGTGTCGGCGTTTCTCATCTCTCGAATTTATGGATTTTTTCAAATATTCGCTTAAGGGTAAAAACCGCACACGCACACACTCTCCATCATGAGCTACAGGATAAGCGAGAGAGAGCACTAGGAAAGATAGCTACAGACGATGATAGAAAGAGAGAGAAAGAGAGAGTCTTAGGGGCATTCGATTTTTTATGAGCATAATAAAAGATTGCTATAAAAATTTGTAGTGTCTAAAATTTGAACTAATTTATATTAAAATACCAGGCACAGCATAAGTTTAATTTGTGTACATGTAAATCACGCTCTCTCTCTCTCTCTCTCTCTCTATGTCTGTTGTAATTAAATCACTAAAACTTTCGTCGACAAAGCCTGGCTAACTGTCTCAAAGACACTTTTTGGCGCGCTTTTGTCGCATGTGGCGCACCGCACACAAGAGGCAAGCCAACAAATAATTGTAGGTATAAACAACCTGAATAATACAAAATAATTTAAGCAACAATAACATTTTGCCAAACAAAGCATAAAACACTTAAGAAGGCGTTTCACTCGTTCTCTCTCTCTCTCTCTCTCTCTCTCGCTCTCTCTCTCTCTCTCTCTCTCTCCCTCACGCACGCTCTCCAGGGTTGAGCTTAAGCACTTGCACTCCAAGCGATAGTTTTGCTCATCATTTGTTGTTGTTGTAGCAATTGCTATTGCTCTGAGTGCATGTGTATGTGTGTGTGTGTCTGGCTGATGTGGGCGCTCAGCGCATACGCATTCGCATTCTCACGTTATAAACATCAAAATTAAGCATCCATTGGCTGCGCACTAAAAAACCAGAAATCGTATAAGAAAATTCCGCACGAAACAACTGACAAACTCGCTCTTTCACTCAATCGGCTGCCTCCGCTCCGACTCAAACCGAACGAACGGCCATCATGCCTCAGCGCACGCACACACACACATCACGTACACGCACACATACAGCGAGCGTATACACGACAAAGAAGAGCAACTGCTGCTGCTGCTGCTGCCGCTGCCGTCACTATTGCTGCCGCTGCTGTTGCTGTTGCTGTTGCTGTTGCTATTGCCGTTTATTGCGATTCGCTGAGAGCGAGCGAGACAAACAGATATGAAGTCTGTATTTCTTATTGCCAGCGCGCAGTGCCGTTGGCGTCGGCAGAGACATGAGACTATTGACTGCATATTTGCGTGTAAATGCGCGCCTGCATAAGTGTGCGTGTGTGTGTTTGCCTGTGTTTGAGTGTGTGTGTGTGTGCGAGTCTAAGCGCAGCGCTTGAAATGAATTGCTGCTGACTGGGCGACGGCGACACTGCCTCTGCGTGGCCAAAGCTGCGGCCTCAGCCTCGCATGGCTTTTGTATTGCGCCATAAACGTTTCGCTGCTCGTAACGCCACAACGGCCGACGCGGACACAGCGCCAGCAGCAAAGACCCGCACCCACTTGTGCCCGCAACCTTACCCGTCGCCCGTCTACTCGGCTACTCGACTACTCGTCTACCCGTGCCCGGCAACGAAACCGAGACAGCGATCCAACGACACGGACGCAGCAAAGCCCCAGTCAAACGTCGACAGCCACAGCCACAGCCGCAGCCAAGCAGCCAGGCAGCCAGGCAGACAGACAAACTCAAACCCAAGTCTCCACTATCGCCGCAGTCGCCAACTGCTGCGCTGCTCGCGCCTCTGCCAGCGCTGGCAGCAAAAATTACCAATTACACGAAATTTTTATACTCTTTTAAAAATTTCGTTTTATTATAATATTTATTATCGTGGCGCGCAGTAGTGTCTGCGGAACAGCGCTCGCAGCTCAACTCAACTCAGCTCAGCTCAGCTTGACTTGGCCGATCTCCGATACGATCCGATCCGATCTGTTCCGATTCGATTCGTCTCGATTCGATTCGCCCCGCGTTTACATTCGCATTGCAATCGCTCTGTTTATTATTTTGTGGCATTCTTATTGTGTTAAACTGTTGCCGCTTACTACGGGCATTCGAGTGCGGTTAATAGTGAGCACGAAGCGCGCGTAAAACTCACGGCAGCAGCCCAGACCAGGAATCATAAGTATATTTGCACACATACACACTCACTCTCATTAAATCCAATCACACAGCAATCAATCGAGAAAACTTCATACTTTGACTTCAACTCCGGCTTGTGGTAATCGGCCGTAATCGCTGCGTGAAAATACAACGAAAACACTGTCACAACAATGAGTGCGCATAAATATTAAAAAGTCGTAAAGTTCTCAACCTACCTGTGAGCCGGGAAAGTGTTTTATGCCATTTTAAACAAAGCAATTAAAATCCGATTCCCCTTCAACTATCCATCGACTCCGGCTTGCCACACGCACTCGAAAGGTCGTAAATCCAGAAAGAAAACGCGTCGGGACTTTCTACCCACGCTCCGAAAACTGTGACCCTTCCCGTGCCCGTTCCCGTGCCGGTGCCTATGACTGTGACTGTGAATCATCGCAAGAAAAATCCAAAGGCCATAAAAATATAACGCCCCAGTTGATCCAATCCCCCGAATATCCCGACCAAGACACCAGCCAAGTGCCAAGTGCCAAGTGCCAAGTGCCGTCGCAGCCATTAAAAATCGCGCGCCTATAAATCAAGCGACGCAGACCGCGCCTCGAGCATTTTCCGTGTAATTGATGGCCGCAGTTTAATTACTTTTACAACAAATAAACGTCGCACACACACACACGCATACACACACACACACATGCATACATTGGAAGAGCTGCCATAACAAAATTTAACAAATTTCGTTGCGAATTCGCTCTGCAGCATTTTCAATTGAAGCGCGTTGCACACAAAATATTCGCCAAACTGATTACTAAACAGATAACAGATAACTGATAATGAAATAAAGCAGATAAAACAGAAAACACGCAGTACTGTTAGACAAATCAAAGCCAGAGAGAGAGCGGCTCGATCAAAAGGTAAAAAATCGTTTTCACCATTTTTCTCCCTTCTAACCGAAATGAACTAGAATTACAAATATTGGAGCGAATGGCAACGCTGACTCCTGGCATACTATCTACTTAAATATTTAGTCTAACTATCCCTACTAACTTCTTACTAATGTTGCCCCAGCTCTAGAGCCAGAAATCTACTAACCTCTCGCACCATTTCTGAAGAGTCGGCTTCGGATTTGTCAAACCCGCTCAGCCAATCGAAGAGGAAAAATACATTTATTTTCCATCTGAATATTTTTGCTTCCCACTTTTCTTTCTTCTTTGTTTTTCTTAGAGGAAAATGCCTATGGATTTTCGTTTGTCTTTTATGTTATATTCGTCAGTATATTCTCAAGAGCTTTTGTGTCATGATTTACGTAGTTGAAATATGCCTTAGTTTTCCCATAATTTAATGGATTTTAATTAAATTAATTATCAATTTAAATTGCTTGAAGAAAAGCTATTGAATTATTTGCGAAATTGTTTCACCATAAGTAATTTTTCTTTTGATGGGGAACCCCCTTTACACTTTGATATTCCACTTTATGAATATTTGCAATTTATTTTCAAAGGTATTCAGACTTCTGGGATCTAAAAATGTCGATTCCGATTTCCCCTCCACAGCGAGAATAGAATTTAAATTGCCTGTTGATGTTTCGAAATGTAATTCAAAGTCAGATATTGCTATTCACGCAGTAGTTCGCAAAAAGTTATGTTGGACGAATACCATTTGTAGGCTGAATTCGAACAAAATTTGTTAAAGAACACACAAAGAACAAACACATGCGAAAGGACAAAGAAGAAGAAGAGTAAGAAGAGAAGAACAATAAGCTTTCATCCATTGATTCAGATCGCCAGCTAGTCAGGCAGCATCCGCTAAGCGCATTAAAGCAATAACAACTCAACCGACCCGACGCGATTCGGCAAGCTTGACAAATTTGACAAGTTCCCGAGCTGAGCAAAAGATATGTGCAATGTCAAAATTTGTTTTCGATAGTATGCTGCCAAAGTACCCACAGTTTCAGCCATTTATCAGTTCGCACTTAACTACAGCATCCACAAATTCGTCATCAGCAGCAGTTGCCGCCGCCCTCGCCGCAGCCGCCGCGTCCGCATCGAACGTCTCCTCACCTGGCATCCACTCGGGCAGCGCCAGCAGCAGCCACTTGCAGTCGTCCTCGCTGTCGCCCAGCTCCAGTGGACTGCAGCTCGCCAGCCAGCTAAGCCAGCAGCACTTGAGCCAGTCCTCCAACTCGCCGGTCTCCTCGTCGTCGCCCTCGTCGACTGCGCAGCAGCAACAGCAGCAGCAACAGCAGCAGCAGCATCAGCAGCAGCAACAGCAGTCGCAGTACTCGTCCCTGTCGGCCGCTCTGCAGCTCCAGCAGCAGCAGCACATCAACAAGTTAGCCGCCGCTGCAGCTGCGGTCAGCTCCCAGGGATCCGTCTCTAGTCTCGGCGGCCACCCGTCGCTGAGCCACGCCCATCAGCAGCTGCTGCTGACTCCCCCCTCGGCGGGCAACTCCCAGACCGGCGACAGCAGCTCATCGCCGTCTCCTGCGGCCGGCTCCTCCTTTGCCATACCCACCAGCAAGATGTACCCATACGTCTCCAACCACCCGAGCAGCCACGGCGGCCTCTCCGGCATGCCGGGCTTCTCTGGACTTGAAGATAAATCATGCAGGTGAGCTCAATGTAAACTCAAGCCTAACGGTAACTTCTCTGTAAAGCCATTCGCACACACACACACGCCGTATGTTCTATTCTACTTATATATATACTATATAAGTAAATAGGTGTATTTTTCAAGTATTAAGTTTCAGTATATATACTTTATTATAATATCTCTCAAACTGAATCGCATTTGGCTGACATTGATATGTGATAAATACTGTATAAGTATATAGACATTGATATCTTATATATTATTATGATCTTCGTGTGTTTATTGTGTATAAAAATACAAATATTTATTGTATAAAGTCAGATTATCATAGACTTTATGAATTAAAATGCCATCTAATCACCCATATGCTTTGAGCTAATTTTCTTAATTGGGATTATCTCTAGTTTTATAGCAGACACATATATATAGAAAGTATGAACATTACAGTTAATATAGTAGCTTGATTCACATCTTGTAAAAATAGAGTTAGTATTTAAACGACGTAATTATTGATTTTCTATATAGAAATTCCTATAGATTTTGATACACACTCAATCAGTTGAGGCTGCTGAATATGTTTGATGACGAGCTGCTGCCGCTGCTGACAGAGATGTGTGTTTGCATTATGATTTGCTTTTAAAACATATTTATTATTAATTCGTATTCCGTGCCATTCACATTTGGTATCTGCACAACACAAAGATGTGCAATATCATTATTTCAAGAGCTACAACCAATTTAAATGAAACAACAGGTTTTCTTCTTTGATATTCATAGTATTAAATTAACAACGCATTCGAAATCTGAAGATATAATATTAGAAAGTGCATCTCGGCCTTCATTTCACATTTATTTACCATGCTAGGTTTTCCAGTTAGACAACATTCGAGGCATTACATCGCCAAACTTGAGAATATATTTCTAATTGAAGTTATCTATCATCTTCCGTGTTATCTGCGGATTACCAGCCGTAATCCACTGTCCGTGGTCACTCTTCCAGAACTGAAACAAAACACTCAGGTCTGTCAATTGAGATCACATCACGCATCTGCCGAGGCATATTGACTTCATTAATGAGGTGTCAGGTCGTTAGACGTGAAAGCCTTCGGCTTGACCCAGAAGCCAGACCATAATGCCCATTGGCCAGCCGCAAATCCATTTGAAATGCGCTCTAATTATCGACAAGTCCATTGGCCATTCATAGGGCGTCTATTCAGGGCCTTTGTGTGCGAATGACCACTGGGAAAATTAGAGCGGCGCTGCGGTGCTGTGGTGCTGTGGTGCTGCCACAGTGCCTGCTAGCAATTTGTCGCTAGCCACAAGATTCGCACGCACATTGACCTTCCAGCAGGGCCATTTGCATATTTGCTTGCAAGCAGGAGTCGGGTCGACGCCGCGGGTGTAACGTTTAAGGAATTAGTGCAAAATGAGATGAAATCACAGTTGACAGTTCACAGCTGACAGTTGGTAGGCGGAACATGGGACTACTCTATATGTTTGTGTGTGTGTGTGGCTCATTAGCATCGGGCTACGTGAGTTTTATGGGCGAGATGAGGTTTCCCACTCCGGGGCACACGTACACACGCATATGCTAATCGTCTATCGCTGCTTTTTCCTCTGCTCTTCCAGCAGGTACACAGACACCGTGATGAACAGCTACCAATCGATGAGCGTGCCCGCCTCGGCCTCCGCCAGCTTCGCACAGTTCTACCAGCACGCGGCGGCAGCCTCGGCGGTGTCCGCGGCCAGCGCAGGAGCCATCGGCGTCGACTCGCTGGGCAACGCTTGCACGCAGCCCTCGTCCGGCGTCGTACCTGGAGCCGGTGGCGCTGGCCAGAGCATAGCGGATCTGCCACGCTATCCCTGGATGACGCTCACAGGTGAGTCACTGCGTTCACAGGGAAAAATAAATATAAATAATGAGAGAGAGAGAGAGAGAGAGAGAGAGAGAGAATGGAAAGAATAAAAAGAATTGTGGACAAATTCAGAAAGTGAGAGATAGAGAAAAATACGAGGAAAGTGAAAAATAAAGGGAAAAAGAAAAGGGGAAAAAGAGTTGTGGATGAAATTGCGGAAAACAAATTTATAAAGGGAGAGGAGAGGAATGTGAGCAATGACGGGAGAAAAATAAATCTAAACAGAGAGAGAGAGAGAAACAGAGAGAGAGAGAGAGAGAAACAGAGAGAGAGAGAGAGGGAGACAAGGGGGGCGCGAGAGAAAACCCTCTTGAGAGAAAAAGAGAGAGAAAAGGAAAACGAACAATAAAGGGACTGTGTAAACAGACAAAAAGAAACAGAGAGATGGATAGACAGATAAAGACGGATAGAAAGTTAAAGAGAAAAGAACCAAGAATAGATTGAACAAACACAGAGAAATAGAGAAGGAAAAGGGGAAAAATCAACGTAGAAAGAGAGAGAGAGGGAAAGGAACTGGAAGCGTGAGAGGGAGTGACAAAGAAAGTAAAAAATAATGTTCAATTAGAGAGAAAGACTGAGAGATATTGCATACACTGCCTTAAGAGATAGCAACGAACTTGGAACTACAGAGAAACGGAGGGAGAAAGCATAGATATAATGAGAGTAGAAGAACCATGAGAGCTGTGCAGAGAGGAGAAGACACTGATAGCTAGAGAGTTGAATAGATTCAGCAAGCAGCCCAAAGAGAGAGAGAGAGAGAGTGAGACAGAGATGGAATGACAGTGCGAAGAATGAGAACGCGAATGCTTTGCGAACGAACAGTGGGTGTTGGCCTGCTAGAAAGCAATCTATTTAGCATAAGTGTAGATATAAAGCTCTATTAGAGTGCGCATAAATCAAGGTGGCGCAGCTTGAGCGCGCTGGGAGGGGGCCGAATAGCTGGCTCTCGAGTCCGGCCATTTAATGAATACCTTTATGGCCATTCGGGCTTATAAACAATAGATAAACGCGCTCGTTCTGGGCCAATTCAAAATTCATAATAAACACTTAGCGGGCATTGGCAAGTCGTTCGATTCGCATCAGTCTTCAGTCCAACAAATGAGGTATACAAAATAAATTCGGACGGCTTGTCGGAATCATAGATGAAATGACGCTGCAAACTGGCTAACGGACAGACGGCCGCACAGACGGACGGCCAACAAGCGAACAGAGAGCTAAAAAGTGGCGGCAGTAAATAAAAATGAAAATAGTTGAAAAATGTGTGTGGTGTTTGTTTTTGTTGCTGTTGCTGTTGCTGTAGTTGTTGTTGTTGTTGTTGCTGTTTCTTTTTTTGTGAAGCCACTCGTCGATTTGTAATTTAAATAGCTTCAAGGTTGCCAGACACACACACACACACACACACATAGATATTTATATGCTCAGATGTGCCCCCGCGCATACAAAACTTGCAATCACTCAGCGTCAGATACTCGGCAAGAGATACAGATACAATTTGTTGCTGTTGCCCTGTCAATGCTTGGCTTTTCATCTATTGTTGTTGTTTCTCTCTCTCTCTCTCCCTCTCTTTTTTTGTTGTTCAATGTTGTCGAGAATGTTTTTATGCGCTAAACGTCGTACAATATTCGCGCGCAATTTATGTGGGTCAGTTTAATTTACGCGCGCCTCGCTTTGTGCAGCGAATTTGTTACTTGGCTGATTGATATTTGTATCAGCACGATTTCCTCCGGCCAGTCTCCCCCGCCACGGCAGTGGTTGAATGACTTGTGAGTGCACAACATGAAGAATAAACTGATAATTAATCTGATTTATCCGGGGAGCGAAAATAGTCTATTAAAATTCTAGGCAAATTAATTTGTATGGGAAAATATGAACAGCAAGCACTGGGATGACATATTCCCGAGTTATAAATCTTCCTTAAAATTTCTTAAGACATTTTGCTCAAAATGTGGAATATAATATAATAAAATTTATAATGAATAATAAGAGAATTCAAATGCAAATCGAATGCGGATCGTACTCGATTCATAATACATTATTAAATGCCGAGTATTTATAATGTCGCATAGCTCAATTCAAAGCCGAATCAAGTGAGAATTATATCCCATTTATAAACCACTTGCTGAAGCGAGACACTCACAGCGAGCATTCGAAAACACTCTGTGAGAAAGGCTGCGACTTAGAGATAAACTCTGTTTCGCACACTGAAATATTTTGCATATCTTCGGCTCACAGTACAAGCGCATAAAATTGTCAACGAGATCATAGACTGGCTGCGATGAAAGTAAATATGAGCATGACGCCATTATGGCAGCCAGCAGCGCGACACATCGTCGCAATCCCACACACACACACACACATAGACACACAGATACAGCAAACATGGAAGCAACGATTCCGTTGCACTTTGAAGAGGGAGGAGAGAGAGAGAGAGAGAGAGCGCAGTCAAGAGATGGGCAATGCTGGCTGCCATTCTTGGCTCTTTACCAACTCGTACTCCGTACACATTAACTTTCTCTCCCTCTGTCTCTGCCTCTCTCTCTATATATCTCTTTCTCTCTCATAACACACACAGAGCAGAGCCAGTCAGACCCGGACGCAGCTACAGAATAGTTTGCCAAATGCAATTTAACTAATGAATTTTAATATTTTACGCCAAGGCGTCTGAATGAATTTTCATTTTCACATCGTTGCACCAACCAAGCAAGCAAGCAGCCAGTCAGATAACAACAACAACAACAACAACAACAATGTTGCAGATTGCAGGCAGTAAGCGAAGTTGTTGCTGTGCCTGATTATGTCGATAAGAAAGCAGAAAGAGGTTAACTTTTCTTAATTATCTGGAAAAGCGAGGCGAGCGCAAAAACAAAACTCAGCAAGGCACGAGCGTAGAAATGGACGTCTTAGGAATATTGGAACTTGCAAGTGCACTATGTGCATTCAAGTAAAAGGAATCAAAAAGCAGATAGACAGAGAGCGACAGAGAGAGAGAGAGAGTGACAGATAGAGAGAGAGAGAGAGAGAGAACTGGTTACTTAAATTAATTAATATACATATAAATTGAGAAATCACGAAGCAACAGAATAGAAGAGAACAGAACACGGAACACTCTGCACATTTATTACAGACAGACATACGCATGTACATACATGCATGTGTGTGCGTGTATTTGAGATTGTCTGCTCGCATCATAAAATGCCAACAGCGACAGGGCAACTGCACTGAAATTTGTGTATTTTAATTAAAAACGCGCCAGGCTAGACGCCGAGCAGCTTCATCTGCTTATTAATTAGGCGTCACGTCGTCGTCGTCGTTGTCGTTGTCGTTGTGGTCCACTTTGGATGGAGTCGGTGCAACTGCTCAGTGGTCATTGGCCACTTTGTTGGTGGTCTGGGCCTGGGAGCAGGAAAAGGCGCTGCAGTCAGCCCTCTGCAAACGAAGCTGACAACTTGGCTTAAAGTGGCTTGATTGAGTGGCTTGGGCAGAGCAAAAAGCCCCAGCAGCTAATGGAAGAGAGCACAAGCGCGAGTTATGCAAGAGGAGGCTCGGGAAAAGAGTGGCACATAATTAGCGAGGTCATCGGAATGTAAAAAGGGAAAGGAAAAAGTAATGTATGGCTCTCCATCTCTCTCCCTCTCCCTCTCCCGCTCTTTCGCTCTCTGCATTAACCATGTGTAGCTAAAAGTCATTTATTAAGCTCAAGGCTGAACGCGCAATTCGACATATGCAGCCCACAATTGCAAACATGCTTGAAAATACTGAAAGAAAATAAGAAATAAAAAACATTCACTTATTTTGTTTCTTTTTTTGCAGATTGGATGGGAAGTCCCTTTGAACGCGTCGTTTGTGGCGATTTTAATGGTAAGTACCGCTAGTAAACCCCTAAGTGAGCGAAACCCTTGAGCAAATGGCATTGGCATTGGCATTCGCAATGGGTTAGGCGCTTAAATACTCTGTAATTGCATAGTAAGGAATATCGCCTTTCATAATTTCATAATTTCCATTTTTTTACGCTGAAACGTCCTTGAAATCCATATCCTTACCTGCTGCGTGTCCAGCGGCCAGCTGAACCCTTCTCGCCTCCTGCTGGCCGTGACTCTTGCAGCGACCTGTCATAAATCCTCGAGCTCAATCTTTTCACTCCCATTGAATGCGGCGACCGTTTGTTTATTGAAGTCATTTTCCGGCTAGCATCTTTCTCTCCCTCACTGACAATGGAAACATCCGGCAACCAGCATTTGGCAACTGGCAATGCATTCCATTTCGACATCGTGAAAGTTGCTGGAATCGAAATAGAAACAGCAGCAGACACAGAAGCAGAAACAGATACAGATACAAATACAGAAATTCGAGTGCCAATATGGCATGCGAGTCAAGTGTCGGGCAAGATCGTAAATCACTTTGATAGACTGCTCGGCGCTCTCCGCTTATTAAAATGGTGCCACCCAGGCCCCCCAGAGCACCAGCCAGTCCAGCCCAGTCCGTGTGTGATGCCCATAATAATGGACGCCTCTGAATTGGGCACGTAACCAAATTCACAAAGCTCGAGGCGCTAAATACTGAGCCACACGGCGAAGAGTGAAGAGTGAAGAGTGAAGAGTGTAACTCAAGCCGAGCCCGATCGAGCCGAGTCGAATCGAATCGAGCTTGAGCTAGAGTGAACACCGTTTATTGCGATTGATCAATTTAATTGTCGACGTGGATCGTGTTGCGTTCTCTGTTACGGCAGTTGTTGCTGCTGTTGTTGTTATTGCGGTTATTGTTGTTGTTGTCGTTAAATTGATTTTACGAGCGTTTTATGATCTATTTACGATTTTACGGATGGTCTTGCGCCACGCATAGCGATGATCGCCGATGTTGACTACCGCAACGTTTACGGCTCTGATCCGCACTACCAGCACCGAGTCGATCCCGATCGCCGCTTAATATGCCCGATAATGGCGTTGCTTATGCTGCCCGATGTTGAGCTGGGCGCAATCTCGGCCACTTCCAGGCTTTACTCAGCGCTTACCTCTGCCGTGCGCCTTAATTACTTAGTTCAACGACATTGGCCATAAAATGCGAGTATCTCAATGCACCCGAAGCGGAGGCAGAAGCAGAAAAAAAGCGTGATCAACCGCCGAGGAACACGAGTAGCCCGGCTCATGTTCGCGCACAATGGGAGTCATAAAAAGATTAACGACTGCGTCGGCCATTCGATTTGCTTTATATGTGACACGTAACAGTTTTGTTGCCCCGATTGCATCAATTAGCCCATAATTGGGCTATGTGGAGCAGCTTCAATTCGGGAATCGATTCGAGTTAGAGGCATTTTACTGGAGCCATTCAAGGTTATGTTTCACGCTGTCGACCTGCTCATTCTTCACTTTGCCCAATCAGTCAATGACATCAGATTAGATTCTTATTTAATTCGATTGGGAATCATCGAGTGCCTAGTCGATTGCACATTACGTATACGCAGAGCGGATGAGTTCCATCGTACTCTGGGCTCATCTACCTGCATGGCAATGGCAATTTCATGATAATTGAATTGCCAACAATTTAAAGTTCAATTTGACGGGGCATCGTGAGGAAGAGGCTGTCCACGGTCCCAGTGCGCTGAGTACGTGCCGAAGCTTCGCTTTCAGCTTCACAGATCGTTTGATATTCGACTTGCCCAGCCCTGTCCCCAGATCCGCGCTCTTTGGATCGCCCATTGCCGATCGCCGATCGCCCATCGCCCATCGCCCATCGTGGCTGGTGTCGTTTGTTTGCTCTGTAAATAAATCACTGCGAGTGCTTTGGGAGTGTTGTCGGAGTCATTTGCGCAATTTACAACACTAACAGCGGCCGTTTGACAAGTAATTAACTCGCTCTCCTTCCAATTTGCCCGCAGACGTTTCTTGCTGGGCGTTTGGCCTAAATTACTTTTCACTGTTTCCCTTTCGCATACCCTGCAGCCTGCTGGAAGGTGGGCATATCAGCCGGATGAACGTAGGGTAATATGAAATTCAGAGTACCCCAAAAACAAGAATATTAATCTAAGGGTATCTCATAGTGTGTCTCAATGTGTGTCTCAGCGACTACATAGTCTGCAAATTAAAATATATCACATTTAAATTATTTATCTTTCTTTCTCAATTGACCTTTTCTTAAAAGTTTTTAGTTTCTCAAGCCCCACATAAAGGGAAGTAATTTTATATAGTCATGGGTTAATTTTCCGTGCTCCCCAAATCATAGATATTCAAACAAACCAGTTTTCAATAGTAGTATGATAATAATCTATTCGGATTTCTTGTGGCTCAAACTGGTTGCTTGACGTAATAAGAAGAAAAAATTAAAATATTTGAAATAAAAACTCTATTCAGGGCTTACAGAGAATGATGTATATGCATTTTTCATCAACATTTTTGATTAACTGAGCATAAATAAATATAAAAAAATGATAAATAATAAATCAGAGTAACAGGAATCCCGTTAAGGTTTAATTTAATTCTGAATTACGCAAATGGGATGAGAAAAAAATTTGTACCATTTTATTTTAGGGATTAGGCAAGTGGAATGAGAAGAATGTTTTCGCTATATCAACATCGAATTTATTAAGTGTTTCCATATTCATTTTTACCTTATTCAAAAGAAGGGAAAAAACAGTTCATTAATTTGTTGTAGATACAATGAATCATTCCAATGAAGCATTCCATTTACTTTGAAGAGAGAAAGAGAGAGGGAGACAACAATTTTATTTCATTTTAGTAATGCTAAAAAATATTTAGTAAAAGGAAATATTTTTTAAAATTTTTCTCCTAAACTCCCTATATATATCTCCCTCTCCCTCCCTTTCTCTCTATCTGCTATGCATATCTTTTCGTATAAAACAAAAGTGTATATGTACATACATATCACATCGATTTGAAATTACAAAGTCGATGCAAACAAGAAAAGTCTTTATAATAACTCTATATATAGCTATTGACCATAAGAGATACATACATAAATCTTGATTGATTGTTGGTAATGCTGATTGAGATGATGTGCTGCTGCGAATACACCCAGCGATTCACTTGACTTGGCTTATCACCTTTGGGGCGATAACATGAATAACAGCGCGCTAAACAATAATATTCATTAATTTCATTTTATTAATTAAAACATGCCATAATCATAACTCATGATACGAGCTCGCACCAGGGTTGGGCTCGCGCTGAGGCGGCATTGAATCAATCTGACAATCGCCACAGTTCACTCTCAAAGTCCCGGCTCGAATCGTAGCTCTGTCAAAGCGAACCAAGCAACAGCAACAGCATCAGCACAATGCGTTTGCTTCAATTTTATTTTCAATTGCGATTACGAATAGGATTTCGATCTAGCCATGCAGCGGATGCCAATGTCATTAGCACTGGATCGAACGCGCCTCCGGGTCTACAGCATCGGCATCGGCATCGGCATCGACATCGCCAGATAAATGCCGCTTCAGGCCGCGGCCTACACGACCCAGTCGACCACTTAACGCTTAGTCGGCTCCTCAGTATCTCTCATTCTCACTCTCTCTCCTTCTCTCTCTCTCTCTCGTTGTCTGTGTCTCTGCATCTATCTATACTTGCCTGCTTGTCGAGTGGGTGGGGTGCCTGCAGAGCGGGTGGGGAAAAGCGGTTCACCCATGGTCTGCTCGGACGGTGCAAGGGTTAATTTATGAGGCGCGATAAGCGAATTCCATTTCGTTTCGGTTTTGTTTAATTTCCGATTTTCTGTTGTTGTTTTTTCTCGTTTAATTTTGTTTTCTTTTGACGTTTTCTATCTCACACTCTGAATCATTGCCTCTCTGTCTCTCGCGTGCGCTCTCTCTGTCGCTCGCATTTTGACTGCTGGAGGGCGTGTCGCAAGCGGAGGGCGGGGTAAATGTGCGACACCGTGTTATCGGCACGTTTCGTGGCGTATTTTTTTCCCATCTCCACAGCTACAGAAAATTTGAAATGACACGTTTGCGAGTGCGATGCAAAGGCAAAGCCAAAGCCAGAGCCAAAGCCAAACGCAAAGCTAAAGCCCAGTCAAAGGCAAATGGCCAAACCCCCCGCAACACCCTGTGCCAACATAAAGTTTTAACTACCCCGTGTGGCTGTTAATCTGCGGTTTTAATGCCCAAGTGGCGCAAATTGGCGAAAGGGTTCGAATTACATGCTGCGTGGCAGGGCACACGGGCTCGAGAGCCGCGCTCTCCGCCCGGCTAAGTGGTCCATGGGCAGCAGAGAGTGTCAAATGAGCGCCAGACAGACAAATTGACGCAGACTGCTGCCAGGAGGCGGGATGCGGGATGCGGGATGCTGGATGCTGGATGCTGGAGAGATGCTCTCTGCTCAATTTGAGACTGGCAGACATGTAAATTTGCAGACGAAATCAAATTAAAAGCGCACACGTTCCACAGACATTACACACTCAAATACACACACACTCACACACACACACGCACACATTTGAAATTTATTCGAGTTGTCGTGCATGTCACAAATTCTCGATGCGAACTTTTGCGATTTAATTAATTTAAATTATAATTGGAATTTAGTTAAATCTTATCAAGTTTTATATACTTAAGCCTCTCTATTTAGTTATTGTTATTGTTATTGTTGTTGTTAGTTAGTTATTTGTTTTAGGTGCTAGTTGTTTCAAGTCGTTTTTTACGCCTCGCGTGCAGCGTGCTGCACTGCATTTCCCAGCCATTTGGCATTTCCCTTTTCCCATTTCCCATTTGCCATTTTCCATTTTCCATTTGCCGCATTCGCACTCTGCGTGACGGTCTCCATTTCAACTCGCTTCTCTCGCTCGAACGCTTTTGTAATCGCTGTTGGGCCTCTTCGAGCAGACATTAAATAGTGCAAAGAGTCGTTAGT